AAATCCACACTTTGGATTCTTTTTCGCGTCATCTGTAATTTCTAATAATATAAATATTCTATATCCTGTCCTTTGAATGATATGTAACATAAACAGGTGAGTTACTTGTAATCCTCTATAGCAATTTGCAATAAAGGTTTATCTCAGCTGAACTGCACGAGAAAGAAATGGTAACCTAGTGCTGGAAAAAAATCTACCTCGCCTGGCTGTATCGCCTAAGACCATCCTAATGATATTAATAATAAAACTAATCAGTATAAGATGCTGTTAATGCAAACTAGACATCTATACATACATAGAATATGTTAATGATACTAACTAGACATCTATATACAGCTATAATAAATATAAATGAATTTTACACAATAGAATAGTAAACTACATAAGTTGCACCGCAGTACATCTACCAGTTATTACTGTAGGAAAAAATATGATCGAATTCGAAGTTTAACCATCTTGTAAAGTAAATTGTAAACTATGCCTACAGTTTACAAGTAGTTCACTTCTTTTGTTTAATAAGGAGTCTCTATCAAAAAATTTGATACTTTTTATTTTCTCATGTAAGCATAAGTAACACGGTTCATTTAAATATGTACATGGTCTAGCCTTTTTAATACTTTCCATTTTGCCGTAGGTGTCTTATTAACTTCTTTTAAACTCCAAAAATATTTACTAAGCGATGGACTATCTTTATAAATACTATTGTTGAAGGATAATATATATATATATATATATTGAGTTCGCGTTTTCGTGTTGATGATTCAAAATTGCGTGTTAAATCTTGTTTATTTAATTATTGTTGGCAAAAATATTTGAATTAATTATCGACCAATTCCATTAAAAAATAAGTATTCGACAATAATAAAGCTAGATATAACAAAGTGCAAGAATGCAGCAACCATATTGAGAAATTGGAGTATATAGTAAGAAATAACAACAAAGATAAAAATAAATAAAACAATACAAACGTAACGCAATATGGTTCATCCCGCCATGCCACAGTAATGTCAATACCAATGTAGGTATAATTTTCTAGAATTTAATTCATAAACTATTTAGTCATTCTCCAACACTAACAAAGATTTTCAACAAAATCAGTATTAAGGTAAGCTATATCTTCAGAAAAAAAACAGAGTTAATTATATATCCTAACATAACAATAATGTATTAAGCAAGTTTCCAAACAAAACAATGCTATAAAAATCAATGCAAGCGCCGTAAAATCGTAACCTGCCTATTAAACGACCAGTGCATGACTGAAGACATAATCAGCATAATCAATTTAATCGATGATATTAAATATTACTTAGGATCCACCGAGAACAGGTGGAAAATAGCGTGTTTTTTTTTCTTCACAGAATGACACTGAGCAATATCAAATACAAAAACTTCACAACATTCTCAAAGTATGTTTGGTGATTAAAAAAGAACCATAAGGGCCCAACCATTACCCGGTGAATCGCGAAATCTAAGCCATAAAATGGAAAGGGAGACAGATGTAACGTGTGTCTGTTGGAGAAATTTATCATATTAAAACACTTAAGTAACGCTAACTTGCAGAACACGATGATGTCCAAATTGATTTCGACAAGCACCTGTAAATCAAGCACCTGCTCAAACACATTGAACCCTGATTAGAAGAGATTACAAAGCAGATTTTACGAATATTAATATAAGATTTTACAGTAACCGCTAAAGAAATATGTTTTAGTAATTTTGATCAGATCTCTTTCATGTTATGTATTGTTTCCTTTATATAAAGAATGTTTTACGACGTTCAACTGTTTCTTTATTCATCAAGACACGATCCTGTTTAGGAGGTCGTTAAATTTCCCGCAGAGACTTTATTTTATTCTAAATAAAGATATCAAAGTTAGTTAAATAATCGATATGGATTTCCAACGGACGTCAAATGCGAACCAAAAGTAAAAGAGGTGTGGTTTATTTTCAGGTTTTCTTATTACTACAAACCGAAGGTTAAATCATAATTCAAAAATACGCTCTTAAGTGGGCGCCGGACGGGGTCGTCAGTGATGTAATTTGACTTGGTTTATCAGGGAGTTTCAGGTCTTTCGACATCATATATCCCTTCACCAAGTCGACCCAATCAGGGTAGATCAAACCCCGATTCCCCCTCACAATCAAACGCTAACGGCTACTCTGGCCTTTTAATGAATTAGACGAAGAAAGATCACGTTTTCCGCAAACGCAATTGGATGTGTGCAACAACCAATCCGCTGCACCAACTATCTTTTAAATGGTCTACGGTCGGGACTAGCTTCTTTTCTTTTTTTTTGGTGGATAAAAGTTTCAATGGATAACTGAGGAGGTAATCTAACGTTCCTAAATTTAACCCTTTTCCTTAAGTATGGTATGGTGTCTTACTCTAAATATTTGCTATTTTGATTTTATTTATACTTTTTTTGCGGTAGGGGAGACGTAAAATCAACCCTAGTATCACATTTTTATCGTTTAGCCTGTTTCTTAACATTATTACAGATCAATGAACTTCAAATGGATGTATTCTCGCAATGAAAATTCTCCATAAACGTGTCGTATGATTTGACTGTACACAGACATACAAAAAACTATAAAAATAAAAGAAGATAGAAAAAAAAATAAAACACCATAATATTTCTTAACATTGATTTCAAACTATTTATAAATTTGGAGTCGGTTATAATACAAAAACTACGAAATACACTTGAAATTAAATTAGACTACGAAAGAAGGGCGATCTGTCTTGCAATATACTCTATATATATATATATATATATATATATATATATATATATATATATATATATATATATATATAATCGACTCTCCTGTCAGGATTCGACGTATGAGGGTCAAGCAGATCAGTTTCCAGGAAACAGACAGCCCGACACCGGCACATGAGATTTGATTCTAGTGGTGAAGGCCTCGTGCAGGAGCATCCATACTTTTTGAAGGGACGAATACAGAGACCTGGTGCACCGAATGCCACAAGATTCCCAAACGACCCTCCGCAGGTTTTGAATTCAGAGTTGTTCTTCTCCAGTTGCCATCCAAGGCTATAGAACCCAGTCTGTCCTGCTATTTTACCCATAGCTGGAGGGAGAGGAAGAGGATTCATATATTTCCCAATGTGTGTGTGTGTGTGTGTGTGTGTGTATAGCTTAAAACCGATAACAATTAAACTGATAAAATAAAGTAAAAATGATATAAAAACGATATATATCGATGATCGAGACAACATACTCTTTAAATACACTATGTATCTGTTATGATACCGATTAAAATATACAAAATGCGAAATATTCGTGTAAAAATAAAGTTTAAAAATGAGAAGCGAAGACAAAAAGCCTTACGAGATGTGTCGCACCGAAACCGCTAAAAGGTAAATAGTAACATAAAATTACCGACTATAAATTTGAACATAAAATACATATTTACAAATAACACAATTTACAAATTGACATGATATATTCGTTGACTGTACCTGTACAATTTAATTCGTCTGTTTAAACATTAAAGAAAAAAAATTAAGATGAAAGTGATAGTTGTCCCAACTTCCTAATGGTGACAATAGTTTCCTCCAAAGGTTGGACTTACGTTGTTTCTTAGTTTCATCATCGATTTTCTCGATGTCATCAGAAATTCAAACTCAGTATTTATGATCACGACACAAATTCTCTTTTGATAGTAAGTAAAACTGCTGATCTCCAAATTGTTAATTGGGGCAAGAACTGGCTTTTAAATTAAGGCGTCTCCAAAAGGAAACAGTTTATTTTAATCATTATAGAGAACTTGTTTGCCTCTCATCAACATGACTGATGCTAATCTCCAGGAAAGCAACTTATTGCGCCTTCTCGGGCTAACGTTTTCCCACTGAAATGGAATTAAATGATTATCCTGAATAAGTTACTAGATTTGCTTCCAGGAATAATGGTTCGATGTGTCGTAACAGACAGTTCTTCCAGCAAGAATCTTTCATACACCTTTATGTATCTACCCTTTCTTTGTGCATTGAATATTGCTGCCATATCCGGTTTGGTGTCACTGCTATATATTCTAAGATCTTCGGCAAAATCTATAGAAAGGTATGAAACTTTATCGGTCTTGATCTGGCATCTCGACTTCAGTTACTTTCCCAACGCCGTGACGTGAGTCAACTCTGTATTTTCTATAGATACTCGATGACAATTCTTCGATTAAAATCTAATCCCTAGTACCTCGAGTGCATAAATTTAATCGTAGTACTAGATTAGCATATAGGTCGCATCGATTTACTGTTGAAATGGCTAGATGTAAACGCAAATTCTATTCTAATAGCTGCTTTCTGTCAATCGCCATCTTCTTTCTTCACGATCCTTGATTTTTCTTCTCAAAAAAGTATTTTAATGTTCTTTTAGTAACAGCAACTAATTAGCGTCTTGGCATTATATCCTTGCTATAAGAGAAATGATTAATGTTTAATGTCCTGGTTGTTCATTTCTCATCGGTCTAAACCCTGCTTTTTATATATCGTTGCCACCAATACCGTAACGCATTACATACTGCCTGTGTTCACATGCACTGTTTGATTTCCATAAAACTTCAGCAGTTGTTGACGAAAAAATCAAAATTATGCATTTTCTCCCGACTAGAGGAATTTAGTTTAATACCACAGCTTTATATGAACTTTCATGATAAGCAATTTTACCAGACCAGCTGCTATATTTAACAGAAGAGTAATTATATGGGATGTGAGCTGTCAATCCTCTACTGCAATGCTATGAATCTCTGCTTCCCATATCAAGAATAAAAAAGAACAAAACTGGAGGTAGTACTGTCGAAGCAATAATAATTATAATAATGATAACAATAATCTTAATGCAAGAAAATTTCCAGATTGTATATATAACTAGAGATGTGCTGATAGGTTGACGTACTGACAACTGTGGTAACAACTTGACCATAAAGACCAAAGCGATAGGTACAATCAAGAATCATTTTGGGGGAACATATAATATAAGCTATAAGTATGCAAATAAAAACAAATGGTAGAAGTATGGAGACAAAAGATAAGAGAATAGATATGAAGAATAGTAAAACAGAGAATGGAAGGGAGGCAATGAACCATGAACAGGGAAAAAGAGAAAGATTAGGAGAATAAATGCGAAAGATAGAAGAATGTATAAATGATCAGACGTATAGGGAAGAGGACAGAAGACTGGAAAGAAGCTGTGGGAGAATGCGTTCAAATGAGAGAAGAATTGAAAGCGAAATATAGGAGAATAGAAGTAAACGATACAAAAAGAGACGAAAAATGTCAAAATAGAAGAAGGGGGAATTGTAAAACGATGACAAATGATGGAAGATTGGAAACTAAAAATACGAGAAGGAAAACAGAGGGAAGCAAAATGGAGACTAAGAATGAGAAACAATGACACAGAATGGGGAAAATGAAACAAAAGCTATAAGAATTCAAACGAAGAATAAAAGAAAGAAAACAAGAATAGAGACGAAGAAAGGATAAATAAGACAATGAGAGAAGAATGTACGCGAAGTAATTGTAGAAAGAAGGCAAAAGAGAGACAAAGAATGGGAGAAAGAAAACAAAAGGAGACAAGAATGGTGACGAAAGATGTTGGTACGAAGAATATAAAACAGAGAATAATGGATCTGAAGAATGACAGAACTGAGAGAAGAACGAAGGATAGGAGAAGAACGTACAAGAGAATAGAGAAAGAAACGACAGGAGAGATGAGGAATGAAAAATGGAAATTCGTAGGAGAACGCAGACGACGAATGTTATGAGAATGGCGACGAAGGAAAGGAAAATGTTGAAGAATAGAAGTTTGTACACAACGAAGAGATTGAAGAGAAATAATAAAAGACAAGAAGCCAAGCATTTTAAAATTGAAAAGAAAGACAGGCAAACATATTTTATAATGGAAATAAAGAATAGATATATTGAAAGAGTTGAAAGGAGGCTGAAGAGGAACGATAGGAGAATGAAAACGAATGATATGAAAACGGGGACAAATTAAGCTGACAGAAGATATGCCAATGAGAATGTTGATATTCGAAAGCGTTTTATTCTGTCAAAAACCATCGTTTCTTAGAATGTCGGATGAAATATACGCGGCAAATGGTCACCAAATGAACTAAAAAAATCAATACCGGAGGGTCAAATGCCAATGTTTATATACAAAAAGTGTCTGAGGATAGTGCATTGATCTCTGAAGTGAGACAGAATTCAAGGAGGTAGCTTTTCATATAAAGACAGTTTGTTTGGGCTGTAACCTAGAGATTAGCTTACGAGGCGGTCATTTTCATGAAAGAAATGGAACAAAGTTCAAACTAATACATGACCTTAAAACCGAAATAAAAACCTTCTATAACGATATCCCAGGAAGTTATAGTTTACAATATGAAAAAATATAGTACCGTGTAAAAGTTTCATTGATATTTATATATATATATATGTATGTGTGTGTGTGAAAAGTGTATATATATATATATATATATATATATATATATATATATATATATTATATATATTATTATTTATATATTATATGCGCGTTAATTATTAGAAAGCGCTCAATATCAGAGATAGAGATAATCACATCAATCCAACCATATATATATATATATATATATATATATATATATATATATATATATATATATATATATATATATATATATATATATATAGTGTGTGTGTGCGCATGTGTGCGTGAGGAAGGTGAATTTTACGTATTCATTTTATAATAAACAAGCCAGCGACTCAGAGTGCTCTATTCATAGAAGTAATTTTGCATTAGCAGTATCAGTCACTCTACAAATTCGTGCCTTTCCTCTATATTGCTCGAAATATATATATATATATATATAATATATATATATATATATATATATATATATATATATATATATATATATGGCGTACATAAACATTAGCTCCAATTTTAAAGTCCCTCCCACCGACTGAAATTCATCATCAATTCCTTAAATTCTTCCCTTGAGAGCCAGATGCCTTCTGTTTGAAAATCCATAGTTTAAATATTTCGATTCTTTCCTGGAATTTCCACTTCTTACAATCATTTCACAAGACTTTTCGGATTACTAATTATGGGTATTCCTAACAGTAGTAACTTATGTTTGTGTTTATGTTTTATATATATATATATACGTAAATACATACATACATACATATATATATATATATATATATATATATATATATATATATATATATATATATATATATATATATATATATATAGTTAGTTTTTTATGATAAAAATATACATATACACGTATACTTGCTAGTTCGTATAAATATATTTTTTCCTTGGGTGTTATAAATGCAGTACTCAATGTTATGAGACAGAGTTTTGAGTATATATCATTATATAAATATATAATATCCAACGTCGATAGCACGACTCAGAGTTTAATGTTGTTCTTGCAAACTTCAGGTGTGGAAAATATTCTGACCGTTATTGAGTTCGCATTCTCGTGATGATGATTCAAACTTGTGTGTTAAAACTTGTTGATTTATTTATTGTTGCCTAAAGTATTAGAATTAATTATTAATAATTTATATCATTCAAATTCTTAAATTCGAAAGCCAAAGAATTAAAAATATTGTAAGAAGTTATTTACATTTAAATGCAAACAAGATATCAAGGTAGGTAACTCTTTTTTGCATAAAATGACATAGTTATCCCAACTGAATTAAACTAATACCTTGGGTTTAAATACAATGTAAGACTGCAAATAAAAATAATAGGCTGGGAATATATATCTAATGTGTTTGCAACCAAGACTTATACATAAGATGGTGAAATTATATATACACACGTTATAAAGTAATCGAGTACAGTAATATTTGATTAGATCTGTGTATAGATATATAATAGATAACATTAATGATGGATTCTAAGAATATTAATAATTGTTGTATATTATATTATATATTCAATTATATATCTGTTGTCTGATTAGTGTTTCATATTCTACTGTATTTTCTGAATGTTCTCGCATTATTCAGGGCAGCATTCTTGTTCTAGGTGGTCTAGACCCTTGTCTTATCGCTTTATATTCTTCCTGGCGTCTCCGGTTTCGAGTCATCTAAAACACCCCTATTAGCCCCGTGTTGGATTAGGCATCTCTCCGTTGGCGCTGAAAATCCCATTTCGCGCTCAAACTTGTGTCTCGTCCGCTATCATTTATAATAGACTATTCCATCATCATCAGCAGGAGCCATCTATGAAAGAGCGGTTGTCTATATTTTTTTTATAACTCTTCTGCAATGAGGTGACTCTTTGTTCTGATATCTTAATGTCTTAACTTTTCCACAGGTGTTTTATTATCATTTCTACGGTTCATACATTATTATTTTTGATTGAATCTAACTAATATTGTTGTGTTGACAGGTTGACGCACTGGGATTACAAGTTTATACAAGTTTCACTTTTTTCGTCATTAGGAAAATGAGTATAAAAACAATGAATCTGCAAGCAAGATCTTGTCGAGCGAAGGAACACTTACTGGAGAAATGATTCAAATTTATGCACTTAAAGTGAGGAACGTGTAATATTTTAAATATCTGACAAAAACTGATTTTTCTGACTTGTCAGAAAACAAAAGAAAATGAAAACAACAACCTTGAGGTGGGGAGATCCCTTCATTGATAATCATTTCTAGTATCTCGTCGATATCTCAGGGTCAAACTTCACTTTTATCTAATGGTCTGAACATTTTTTTCCTTTGTTTTATTAAGTAAAAATAAGGCAATTGTTATTTTCGATAATAACTTTAATAAAAGAATCCAATCTGAAATTTTGTTCCATGATCATATCATCTTCTGATGGTCGTAGTGTAAGGGGATTGCGCTGTTTAGTTTCTCTGAGAGCGGTGCCGTCGGGAGTCCTAAACTCCTGGTAGGGCCTTTATTGGCGGCAAGGTTGAATACCAGGACCCACACTAAGCGTAACCACCCCAAAAATCCCCAACACACTGAAACAAGCGTATGTAAATTACAACAGATCTCAACGGTTGAACCAGCGGATGAAGAGGCCTACAATTGACGGACATACTACGGAAGGCGATTCCAAATTATAGCAGAATCAGCGGCAGTCTGTTGCAGTTTCATAGCTTGGTTCTCCCTTACTCACTCCGAAATGTGCCGCAGAGGAAGGTCATGAAATCAAGTGTGTGGGTTACTTCCTGGCAAATTGAAATCTACTATAAAGAAATTCACGACGTCGGCAATTTTTTCTACTCTGATTTTCTTTTACCTCCAACCATTTCTTGCAAAGCCAAACAACGATGGGGAATGAATGACAGGAACAAGGTTAAGTGAAACTGCAAGCTTCTAATCCTGAACCAACTCGCTAGAGGTGAATTTAGTCAATAGCGCCCTCATAATAAAGCAAGCGATCAGCAAAGTAGAAATTAAATTCTTCGATGTCATCTTCCCGAAACGTCAAAGTTGTAATTTGTCAATTTTATTCAGCTGCAGCTTTGTTGCCTTTATTCCTGTTTTGAATAGATTATTATTATTGAATAGTTTTTGTGCACCATACCGGAGAAAGTACGAGAATATATTAATAGATATTTAAAGAATAATAGTTGTTGTGCATTTGCAGACCCCATAGTGCTCGAGGGTCGTATTTTACCCGCCTTGCAATAGACACTAGTTATCGTTGATAAATATAGTTTATTTCTCTTTCTTTCCTTTTCGGTCAATGCATTCTCTTTCCTTTCCTTTCTTTACTGATATTTTTTTTCTTTTTTCTTCTTTTTTTCATTTCGTTTTCTTTCTTGTTTTTTTTTCTGTTTCTTTTTCTCCTCTTTTTTTTCTCTTCTTGTGCTTACATGGCTTCAGAGAATTTTCTCTTTTCATCAGAGGTATCCGCTCAGCTCTTTCTTTCTTCAATGCAAACGGTTGTTAGAAGACGAAAAGTTTTCGACTCAGCACGGCATGTGTCCAACGCCTTCGACCCATAAGGCCGACAGTTGAGTCTGTTTTCCGAGACATCTTTCTTAGATGTCTGTCGGACCTTTGTGTTTTCGGACCCCTCTGTCGTCATTATGTATACTCCAGGGTTACTCTCATAGACCTGCTGCGAATGAGACACGCTATAAACTAGATATTCTTTCTCGGTTTGTTTTTGTTCTGTACTGACAGCTGTCAAAACAACTGTTCTTCACGATCGCTCTCAAATTCCTTCCAGTCTTCAAGTTTGGTGGTTTGTTTTTAAACCTACTGGCAAATCAACCCGTCAACCATATTGGTGACAGTCCAGAATGCCGAACTATTCTGTTCTTGGCATTCCAAAATTACTAAGCTCGCATTTTATATTTATATTCGCTTTTCTGCAACTGGTCTACATCATCTGCAAAATAGCAATCATTATAAACAAAGTTCTATATCGAGGTGGCTGCTGGAGTGCAAAATTTCCGACGAAAATGTAACATTTTTTTCTCCTCATATAAGACATATTTAATCTAATCTTACATAGAATTTTATTTATTTTATCTTAATTAAATCCGTTTATCCTTCCTTGACTGCCCCTTACAACTGGGAACAGTACGTGTTCGAATCAATCATTTGATTGTCTGGAAAGATCTCGTAGAAGTAAGTGGTGAAAAGGCCAAGTTTCGATCGAGTAGAAATTCCAGAACAAAAAAAATATTTGGTCATTCGGCCAGATTTTGAGATGTGAATCGAGTCGACAACATTTCATCAATCTTTTGGGGATAATTCATTTCTAATTCGATTTTGCTTTTGGGCTGAAAACATTCCGTTTATTAAAGTTAGTCATGGATCATATCACTTCAAAGTCAAACATTTCCATATTTTGAGTATTTCACTTGTTTGAAAGATAATGACATAATCAACATAATGTAAGGTATTCCCAATGCATCGTTTGCCAAATCATTCCAACAAAAAAAAAAAAGTCCATTCTCGACATATGACAATAAAGTTTCCTCAATATATCCGCTTTTTTGCAAATAAGTTTTGCATTAAATTTTTTTTGAGAAGTACAATGATTACTCCAGGTACGAGTCGTATTAGTTAACTAATATATGAGGTTACATTATGGGTTCAAACCTCTCCCAAATTTATTTGCGTGTAAACAGACGAAACGAACCCTACTGGAATTCGAATTTGTCTCTTCCATTTCTCAATCCGGTCCGCTTTCTATTACACCTATTAAGCGTACGATGGAACAATTTGAGCGGTCCGTCCTGGGTATGACGATAAACAAAATCTGCGTTCTGGGTATGACGATAAACTACATCCGCATCCTGGGTAAGACGATAAACTACGTCCAACAACAAGGTCTCTGATCAGGAGCTTTTGAGGAGCGTAGAACAACCTCTTAATTGCTGATGTTCCCAGGTCCACCCTGACCTGGGGTTGTAGCACCTGTTAGGATCCCAGCTATGGGCAAATAGTTAACACCCAAACTTGTGTAAAAATAGGTTTTAATACCAGAAATACTTTTTAATAAAAAAAATATTGCTAGCAATAATTTTTGAAGGAAAAATTATTATCAGCAATACTTAAAAAAATCAGTAATAAACTATACATTCTTAAGAAGTTGGATTGTACTAAAAAATATGAGTAATTGAAAAATGGTTCAAATAAATATGTATACATACCCACCTTTTTTTCAAAACTATCGCTATGAATCTATTTCAAAAATTTTGATGGCATTAAATGACCCACTGAGTTTTTGATATGCCATAAAAAAACAACCAAACAACCAAACCATTTGAGCGGTGATCTTGAAAAAAATCCTTTCCATCTAAGTTAGGGATGGGTTTCCTAGAATTTTCTTAGTATGCGCATCTGTATTTTTAAAATTATTTCCAGTGCTATTATTATTGGTAGAGTAGTGAATATTGGATGGTCTCCTCAAGATGAAGAAGAGACTCGAAGAAACAGAGATATGGTTCTACAGAAAGATTCTAACGATGCCATGGACTGAAGCATGTGAACAACGATGAGGTTTTGGTGAGGATGCAAAGAGTAATCTTATACATAACATCAGCAAGAAGCAGCTGAAATTTCAGAGTTACGTAATGAGAAAAGGTCCTTGCGAAATCTGATACTCACAGGGCGAAGAGAGTGAAAGAAAGACAAGGCAAAGCAAACGGGCAGAAGCAAGTGGATAGCAAAACATGATCTGGGAGAAATAACAAAAACAAGGCTTATTGAGAGCTACAAGGGACAGCAAGTAGTGGCGAGCCATGATTGCCTACGTCCTGAAGGGACACGGCACATAAAAGAAGACAAGTGGTTGTGTTTAAATGCAACATTATGCTAATTTCGATTTCAAGGTCCTTATATTTTGCAGTATTTTTTTTATCACATTGCTTGCGAGTACCAGGACGGGGGGGGGTAGGTATGAATTGTCTGTATCGAGAAAACTATGATTAACACACTGAATGTTAATTGATAGACAGTTGTATTAAGATGTTGACTAAAAGTTAGTTCCTGTTGACTACGAAATATTCCGGGTTTGTTATTTTCTGATACATTTTCATCTTCAGGATCCAAGAACGAGTTTATTTGCTGTGATACATTTAATGGGAAAGTAATGTTAAGACTCCATTTGAAGCTATAAATCATTTCATTAAAACAATTTTATTGCCTAAGTTGGCTGTTATAATGTTGTCGTTTGAATTCAGATATCGTAATTGACATCACCTCATTAATATAATATTAATATAATATATATAATATGGTATAATATGATAATAATAATATAATATATATAATAATATAATTATATATACTACAAAATAATATAATATATATAATATAATAATATAATAATGACATATAATTATTATCATTATTAATAATAATAATAATAATAATAATAATAATAATAATAATAATAATAATAACTAATATAATTAGTGAGATTTTTTTTTATCAGATGGGTATGTCTGCCTGTTTTTAAAGAATGGTCTTTCCTGTTACTGTGTTCTCAGTAGCCTTCATGCCGGTGTTAGTAAAGCTATCTTCAATATTCAACCAAGGAACGTTTCTCGGAAGCACGAAAACTCATTCAGGGAATGTTTAAAATCGAAAGAGAAAAAAAAGCTTTTAAAAATTGCACTTGAAAGACTTCAATTCTGCCCAATGACGGGCAGCGTATGTTAATATGCAAATTTATAAAAAGGAATATATTCAAATGTGTAAGATATTGTGTGAATCAAATACGTTTCTATGAACTGTTACTTAGATGTGTCCTCAAATAATATATATATATATATATATATATATATATATATATATATATATATATATATATATATATATATATTAAAACTTTGCTTGAATAATGAAACATAAATAAAAGCTGAAATATTTTTTTAAATAATGGTAGATGTTATAAGTTAAACGACATAATATATATTGCTCATATAAGTAGGTCCTGTAAATGTTACAACCGTTAGAAAACATTAACTTGCATAATAAAATCCGACACACTGTACCACATGATTTTAAAGTATTTGCTTTTAGCAACAACTTAATAAAATGACGTACCGTATTGCGATACCTGCACTGTTTATAAGAGGTTGTCATGGAGGGGAAGATTCTTGGCTGACGTTTTCTTTTTTTAGGATTGATTTATATGGCGATTTCTTCGCTTAATATCACAAAAATAGATCCG